ACTAATTAGTTTAACTTGCTCGAATGATCTCTCACAGCTGGCAATGGAAACTGCGATGGTTAGCATTATCTGAATAGCAATGTGAAGATTGGGGAAAACGCTCATCTCCAAGCTGAACAATAAATAGGTCTTGATATTTTCATGTTGGCCTGACTTGATAGCAGCATTCTGCAATCCAAAATTTCTTCATATAGCTGCTGTCTATCAACATCAGAGCTGTACAATTCACCCACATTTTTGCACTTCTTCTTTAGGTCGTTACTGTTGGCGCTGTAACACAGTCCATCGACATCGAGAAGGAACGTCGGTGTCGCGCAAACGTGCGAACCTTTCGTCCATTTCTCTGTGAAGATGGTCGAGTATTCCCTTCATGACTCTTTCCATTCCCTCCTTGGCTGTTAACCCAGCGTCTCTCGAGTTCTCATCAGCCATTCGTTTCTTTCATCTCTGATGTCTTTCAACTTCAATATTCCATTCTTGACAGAGACCGAGTTCTTCAAGTGACTCACTGACCAGCACTTTTCTTTCATCATCAAAATGATCTCGGAGGGCTTTCAAATCCAAGGCAGCACCGTAGAAGTTCATACTAAGATCCTGCGGCCTCTTTTGAATATGGTCAATGCGAATGAATACTTTGTTTCAAAATCGTAGCAAAGTCAGAAAATCGTAACTCAACATGCGGTTATACAGCTGCCTTGCGTCACTTCTTGTTTCACTTGTCTCGTATTCATTGTCTATCATGCCCTGGAGAATTTGAAGTATCACCTCAAGGTACTTGTTGACGGGCTTCACTGCTTCTGTCCTTGCACTCCACTTGATTTCGGACTGCGACTTAACAACCACAGGCATGGCGTTTTTGAGTTTTTCTCAGCGATGTGGTGAACGAGAGAAGAACACGTAGAGAGCTTCGGTGATTCCAAAAAACGTGACCATCATTGTATCCTGCTTGGCTGCATGTACACCCACCAAGATGAGTGAGTGATTGTCGCAATTCACAAACACTGCCAGGTTGTTTTTCTCACTTATTCTTTGATGAAAATCACTTCCGTGTCCAGCCATCACAGCAGCGTTGTCACAGTACTGTGACAGACAATCTTGTAGCTCCATTTCTTCCTTCTCTAGATGTTTCAAGATGTCTTTAACCAAGCTCTCAGCATCCTTCTGTCTTATCTGGATAAAACCAAAGAAGGACTCTCTAATACGGACTGTTTTCCTTTCAAAATCAGCTTCCACGTACCTCACTACTTCTAACATCTGCTTACAGTGTGCCTGATCAAAGGTCGAGTCGAACATGAGACCATAGTACTTGGCTTTACGAATGCTTCTCAGTAAACTCTGGCGAACAGTGGATGCCATCATGTGGATGAATTCGTCTTGAACACCCGGTGAAAGATAAGACGTGGATCCAGGATGACTTTCCACACGAGTGGGGTGTCCTGTCATGACAGGATCAAAGATAGCCAGTAGTTTCAGTAAGCCAATGAAATTTCCCATATTGGAGTCATCGTCTGGCTGAAGTGACTCCCTGTGTCCTCGCAAAGCCAGGTTCTGAGTCGCAAAGAATTTTATGCAGTGAAGGATTCTCGTCAAGATATCACGCCACTTCTGCTTTTTCTTCTCAATCTGTGACTGAAGTTCAGCGTCAATAACTCCTCTGTTTTCAGCTACATTTCTTTCCATTTCATTCCACTGTGTGAAGTACTCCTGATGATTCTTAGCATTTTCATGAACACTAATCCTTTCATGTGTTTTCCACTGGTTGAATCCACTTTTCTGCTCCAATGAGGATTGATGATCTGACCAGGAATAGAGAAGACAACAGATACAAAATTCAGACTTTTTAGAAGGGGAATAGACCAGCCATGAATGAGTCACTTCCTCACCATGACCATTTCCGAATTTCCTCTTGAACCAAGTTTTGTTCATTGAACAGTTATTTGTTAGTAGGAAATACTTCGAACCCACCTTTATTATTTCTGTTCTCAACGTGTCAGGTAGAATTGCTTTTCCAGTATCATTGTCGAACTTCAGAAGTCCAATGTCATGCTATTCAATCACTTCCGGTATGACAGTTCAAGGCTCTTCGACACCATCCAGTTCATCAGGTTTAGTGTCGTCAGATATAATTTCGTCAATAAACTCAACATCACCACCATCGTATTCCCCTTCTGTCATGTCCACGTTCTCTCTGGCACCCTCACTCTTAATCTCATTATACTGGGATTTATCTGACTTGACTTTCTCCTCAGTTTCTGACACATTTGTAGTTGATCCACCTTCGGATTCTAACAAACTTGAAGCTGGGGCAGGCGACTCCATGGAACGTGTCAAACTACTTGTTCTGGGCTTTTCAAAGAAGTGCATGAACAACTTGCTCGACTTATTAACTTCCTCTGCCTCCAATTTTCTTCTCTTCCGTCCTCCAGCTCCACTTTCCTTCTGCTTCGTAAAGAAACGATTCATGGTCTTCTTACACAATGCTCTGAAATAAGGAAATGGCACTTTTTAATAAGAACATTAAATTTCATAGAATTTGAACAAAATTCTGGACTACATCCTTAGTTTGTGCAGGAGAATGATCTGACTGTCAGTTGGCACCGTGTGGTACTATAAGGTATGTGGCCATGTTGCACCCAGCACTGTATTTTTTACTTAATAATTTATATAAATGGTTTAACAATCGGCCATCCTAGTGCTTCTCACTCATGATAATCAAAGACAGATCATACATCTGAAGAAAATTCTTTTTTTACTATTAAGGATGACTTGTCTGACTTTAATAGAAACTGCTCAGTGGCGCCCCTCTTCAAGTGGCGCCTAGGGCACGTGCCATACCTTAGATACTCCACTGGGTCCTTATATAGTTTACATAAATGTAGAGAGTAGGATCAGTTTTGCGTAGAGAAGAAGCTGAGAGAATCGACGAATTAAAGGAGATTAGGCGTTTGCAACATAATCGGTTAAGTGTGGACAAGGTGTGTACAGTAGGACTTGCATACTGTATACATAATAGTATTCATAAAGTGAGTGGTAAAGTGTAGATAAGATACTGATATATACCAGAGAAGATGTTGGTAAGAAACTGATATATAACAGATAAGATGTTGGTAAGAAACTAATATATAACAGATAAGATGTTGTTAAGAAACATATATAGCAGATAAGATGTTGGTAAGATACTGATTTATAATAGATGAAATGTTGGTAAGATACTGATATATAACAGGTAAGATGTTGGTAAGATACTGATATATAATAGATAAGATGTTGGTAAGACTGATATATAGCTATAGTAGATAAGGTGTTGGTAGAATATAACTAATTATGCTTGTAATAAGACATTATGTTAGACATGTTTTTAACAGTACATTCTTAATCTAGTCCCTTAGGGACTTTCAAGAATTAGAAGAGTGTACAATAATATCATTTCAACCACACTGTATTCGTCATATCTATTGCCGAGGCTCAACGATTGTTGTTGTAATAAATGACCTATATATAAATAGTGTTCCGGTCACTATTGTATTTTTGTACCTCAAACACCCTGAAGAACTCTGGATTGCGTGAAACGCGTTGTCAACAATAGATATGACGAATATCGTGTGGTTGAAATACTATAGCTATACACTCTTCTAATTCTTGAAAATCCCTAAGGGACTAGCTTAAGAATGTACTGTTAAATGCATATGTCTAACATGTCTTATGACAATGATAATTAAGTATAATCATGCTTCGCCATCTTGTAAAACGCGTTCACATCATAACGATTGTTGTTGATTGGAATACTGGTATATATAGCAGATAAAATATTGGTAGGAATACTAGTATATATATATGTATACAGTAGATAAGATGTTGGTAGGTGTGCTAGTTTACAATAGAGAGGATGCTGATAGAATGACTATTTTACACTAAAGAAAGTGCTGATATAATTACTTGTCTGATGTAAATTGCTGATAAGTTATTTGTTAAAGGACAATAACGTTGAAAATATAATTATCTTATACAGAAGTATGCTGGGCCTGTGAAAGTTATGGTCTATCGATCAGGAGCTCAGAAAGCATGCTTATTATTATACCTTTATGTATCTTGATATCTATCTGTCGATCTATAGTATTTGGTTAAATATAGCTAAAGTAAATATACATACATAAAGTATTTTGTTCAGTGGTGTAGACAACATGTTAATAGAAGAAATGGTTTACTCTGTTTTTGGTGATCATAGAAGGATTTAGCAAGATAGGTGGTGTTATGAAAAAAGGATTGCCAGGGTAAGTGGTGTTTTTTGATAGAAGGATTAGCAAAGTAAACGCTTTTGATAGGACTTGCAGGATGCATGAGGTCTTGGTAGAAGAAACTAGTAGAAGTGTGTGAGATTTTGATAGAAGAACAGATTAAATTTACATTTGGTGTTAATACAAGAACGTGCTAAGGATAGACCAGGTTTGATAAGCAACTTGTTAAGGGGATGTGAGTTGATATGAGGACATGTTAAGTGTTGATAAATGGACTATTATAGGATGAATACTAGATGCTAGTGAAAGGACGGGTGTAGTCTAGACGAGGTATTCATAGAAACGTTTGTTTAGTATAAAGGGTATGTTGATAGATAAACATTTTTTTTGTTTATGATGTTTAATTATTTCAGTAACTTACACTTTTTGAAACAGCAACAAAGTATTAGGAAAAAAAATCTCAACTGAATCCAAATGTTTCGGAGAACATCTGCTATTCTGTTTTCCACAACAAACTGATATTTAAAGAGTATATCTAAGAAGTACAGTAGGAAAGAGTTTGGTGCAGTGAAACACAAAAGTTGTTTATTCCCATAACTTCCTGGTTTTGTACACTAATCAACTCAAAAGAAGTACACACTACCACCACTACTTAACCTTTCTTTAAGTAAATTAATTTTCATAAAACAAATAAACAATGGTAATTAGAAACACAGAAAACAAAAGCTAAACTTGTTTCACTGTGCCCCACCGAGTGGGGGCAGGGTGAGACAGTACGTTGGTCACTATGAGAGACACTACAATCACATGTGGATGTATATGTTATTTAGGTTTGAGACCCATGTACAGTAAGCCATGGGCTTGGGCATTGCTCAAGGACGAACTACTTCCTCAGAGACTTGGGGTGGGGAACGCCCTTTTCCCCTCAGTTACTTGTTCAGTGTTATTTTGAGAATTTCTGTCGTATTTCCTGAATAGTCTCCTGTAAGGTTTCTTTTTCTCCCCTTTCTGCTTTTTGTTGTGATATCACCTGCTTTTCTGGGGTGTCAGTGGCAATTCTAGTTTTTCCTTTGGTTCGGGATTTTCTGTTGATGTTCCGCTCTTCAACTTGTAGGTAACTTTTCAATTATGCTCGGCTGTTGGACCCTTCTTCAGCAATCGGTTCCTCAGTTCTCCTATGTCAATTATATGATTAGAGGGCAAAGCTTACTCTGCAGTGATGGAGGTAATCGACTGAAGATTCAGCTTCGGCTTGGATGGAGGGAGTTTTAAGCTGATCACTATTTTCACAGCAATCACTTACAACATTGGACAGTTCTTCAGATGGGGCTGGACTGTCCGTCACTGCATTACACAGAAAGTCTGCACCACAGAATGTTTCATGATTAAGTGGAAATATTCCTGTCTTACGGAAGGCTGCAGTGATATTTGTTGGAATCATGATGGTGTGCAGTACCAACACAACTTGCAACTTCATACAATGTCAAGGTCTTCCCAGGATTCTGTTTCATCCAGAGGTCTACCACCTGGTTATAGTAAGTCTTGAATGGTCTATAAATTGCCTCATCAGAAGGTTGCGTCTTGTTGCTAGAATGTGGGGATGAGGTGAGAATTGTCACTTCATTTTGTTTGGCCAACTCAATCACTTCAATTGACAGTCGGCTGATTATCTTATATCAGAAGTGATGGTCTCTCTTTTGCAGTCTGTGAATAATGAATGAAGAGTTTCTGAAGTCATACAACCACATTTATGTGCTAATCCTAGTGTCCCTGAAGGTGCAACTTGTGTCATGTACTATTTAAAATGCAAACATGGAAAAATCATTACGGGGGCAGAGAATTCCCAGTCGGTTCCCATTTCAGTACTGGTGCATTTACTTACTTGTTTTAGTCCCTTCTTTGCAACAACTTTTGGTGGGGTGTGCATCATTGTAGTGCCAGATTCATTTAAGTTAAGAACACTTTTTCCCTAATAAAATTTGACTCTCTTCTGGTGATCTTTATCAAGTTGTTGAAAATTTTTCAAGAACTTTCTTGTTGAATAAAGTTGCCCTTTAAAGACTGCAATCATCAGGCTTTCTGATTCTCAGCTGGGGGTGTTGCTGCATGAAAGATCTGAATCATTCAACTCCTGCCATACTCTCATCTTTCTACATTTCTGGACATGTAATGTTGCTAAAGTCATTTTAAACGCTAACTGTCTGCGTTTGTTTGTTATGAGCCCGTAAAACATCTTGGCACATGTCAAAATATATTCACAAAGGGAATATTCTTGAGCTGTGTTAAATATTTGTCGAAAGGCATACTTGAGTTTAATTTGGATCCGTTCACAAAGATGCCGTTTCTACTTTTTCACATATTTGTGGTAATAAAAGGAAGTTAACCAAATATGTACTTGGCATCAAAACTGACTCATCTTTAGTTTTAATAGACTAGAGAAAGCAATTTTTTTTTGGAAGTGACTATAGCCATATTCAAAAGAAAAAACCCTTGGAAGCAGATTCCTGCTGGTACATAGACAAACAAATAGGATCAATTTGTAGCAAGGGAACAGTCCCACTGACGATGTGTTCACTCCCAGTAACATATAAAATGGTCATCTAACTATGCATTATGTTTCAAAGGATGATATTGTTTATAGCCTACTTATCAAAAGATGGCCTAGTTGTACTAACACCTACCTATGCAAAG